CAGCAGCACCAGGTCAGGGTTGACTTGTACTGTTACAATCTGTCTGGAACCCGGCACAGTGACAGCCACCTGGTTGTCCTTCAACTTTGTTATACCCCGCGGACGACCACCCAGATTGAGCCTGCTGTGACCTGGCTGCTTGTTCCTGGTGTAGAAGGATTTCACACTGTCGTTGCTATAGTCTGTGACTACCACTGTGTCTGTACCATTCACCACAAACACCTTCACGTCATTGGGGCATGCCCCAGATGTATCTCCTGCTACTCTGACGTTAATGGTGTCCTGTAACACAGGAGTAGCCTTCAGGTCCAGCACGTTAATGGTGTCCTGTAACACAGGAGTAGCCTTCAGGTCCAGCACACCCTCATACAGGACGTCTATCTCACCCAGCTGTAGATCGTCCAGTGCTCTACTCAGCTTGTCCGTGTCCTGTCTGAACATGATCCTGGCTATTCTTCCCTTCTCCTTCACGTCTGCGACTCCGACAGCCTCCACATCACCGGCCTCACATCCCTGGTACATCTCATACACACCCATGTCACACTCAGATTGTAGAGTCTGGTCTATCAGCTCAGCCTGTTGTTTGTACATCTGTACTGATATCTCACCTGACTTTATGTCTGCCTTCAGTTCTCCAATGTGTTTGTCAGACATTTCTTTCAGTTCAGCCAAAAGTTTCCGTTCCTTGACTTTGATCATCTTTATTGCTTTGAGACTTGCAGACTTGATATTCGATTCTATTCGTACGCAAAGTGTTAATGCTTCATTGACTTTGGAGTTTTGTTTACCAATATGTGTTTTCATCTCGTCCTGTTTCTTCAACAAATCCTCTTTATTCCTTCTTAACTCGGTTTTCATTGCAGGAATCTCAGACTCAATTTCAACAACCAAGTCACATTTCCTGTGATGGATAGTGCAGCATGTTTGACAAACAGCTTTTTTACAATCTTTACAAATATATTTGATATTCTGATCCTTGTGAACTTTACACATGACCTTTCTCTTGACCCTAACCTTTGTCTCTCCAAACAGGTCAACTACGTCATGGTGACGGGAAGATGGAATTCGTCTGTGTACTCGAATACATCGTTCACAGAGTGCGTCGTCACAAACAGAGCACCAAGATGTAGCCGGAGTTGTCTCCCCTTCCTCCTTGCAATAACTGCAGTGAGTCGTATCTGAAATAGGAATGTAATCATGTAGAGATAGTAACAGTTCTATATCACTACCTACTACAGAACTTCATGTGGCATATCACTCGCACGTGTGAGACAACATGCATCAATAACATCCCAATACGACGTAATGTAAAAAAGTATGTAAATAACGTTGGATTTGTCTCACTGATAGAAATCGCCATATAGATTTCAGAAAAACCAGCGATTGTGTCTGAGATAGACCTGAGACCATCTCCCTTTCGAATCATGTCCGGATAATCGTTGTTACTTGTTAAAACAGTGTACACGATACGATTTCATAGTCTACATACAGCCTACAAACAACTTAATAAATGACTTTCGATATATTTTGAAACCATACAAAATATCTTCTCACTCAACACACATTCCTATAATCCAGTCAGGTGTGGAGTTACCTGCATAGAAATAACATTCATATTCATACAAACCACAACCCACCTTTAGACCCGGGGCCAAACGAGTCCAAAAGTCCCTGGATGACAAAGATAGGCTTGACGTCATCCGCCCACTCCTCCACTGGTCTCTCAGGGGCAGACACTTTCGTCATCTTGCTGCAGAATGGACACAGGAGAGATTTGGCACTGATGGCTTCTGGTCTGGTTTTGGTGTAGTTGACGACACATTTCCGACAGAAGGTGTGATTACATACAAGTGTACAGGCCTTGTCAAACACCTCTGTACATATAGTGCATGTCAGGAAGTGTTCTGTTAACTTCTGGGAGGTCGCCATCTTACCTAGAAAAAGACAAACCAGTCGTGTATTGCCTGTGTACAAAACATGCACGTCTTATCCACAACCCGAACTTGTTTCGATTCTACACATCTTGTAAGCCCCCGGCCTTTCCCGACTTTAGCATGGATACAGGGACCATTGAACTACTCATATAACACATTAATAATGTCGTCAGTTCATCAGGACATGTACTTCTCGAAATTCATAACCAGTTTTGAACACATGAGGTGGTACCTAAGTAGTTTTGTTTCGTTGTTTGGTTGGTTTTAGTTTGCTTGCTGAAGTTGGAAAATAAGTAAAATATTGATGGCCTGACAGTACGCGTTTGTTATGCAATGTATGTCATGGTGACACCGAGAAGCCAGAAACAGTGGCCTCACGATGACGGAGGTTGGTGGTGCTTGTCAAATCAGTCACAGGCTGGCTTTACAACATGAGGTGTGTGCACTTGTGAACCGTGTGCAGTGTATCGATCACGTGACATAAATATGGGGTGACACCCACCTTTTACTATATCGAAAGTAGGAGACATTTTTACAGTTCACATACTACCATATCAGATGTGAAATAATACAGTTATGTGGAATTATGTTCCCGTATGGTTTACTGAAGCATTTGTCAGGGATCATGTCAGTAATAACTGTAACAGACACACGTGATATATACATACACATACATCGGGATCGGTCTCAGTATTGAAGTCAAGTGGCCGATCAGAGTATTTAATGACTGTGGATCTTTGAATTATTCCGGTTAGCCTACATGTTATATTTAATTAGGTGCCCGGTCATGGGAATCTGCCTGGAGATGACTGTATAGTTAGATGAACCCTTGTGGTGTTACCAGTACACAGTAGGACAGGTGTGTAGCGTTATAACTGAAGTAGACGCAAGCCTTGTGACAACACACTTACCTGAGACAAGCAGATAACCGCTGTGGAGGGAAATTGAGCTACCGTGACTTTCGTTACCAACTCGTGTCATAGTAGGACAAACTGCTTGCAGGTCACAGAAATAGGGCCGAGTGGAGGCGAATGGGCGTTTTGTATTTGTTCTAAATACACTGGGTCTAGATTCGATTATTTAAAGGCCGCTTTCATGGAGCTGGAATAATCCTGAGTGCCGCGTAAACAACAAACAAACTTACAGACTGACATACAGCTGTAATATTGATGAGAGGAAAACTACAATTATTTACTCGAGAATAAGTTACGATACTCACTTCTTGCGGGTTTCCTTCACCTGTTTAACATAATTATTTACCAACATACAGTGGCTAATATCTCTGTAAGCTGCTCGCAAACTAATTCTTTCAAGCTCACTTGTTGGGTGCAATGTACAATAAGCACAAAGTCGTAAATGCTGTATCTTTCTGTACTTTGCATCAAGCATCGATAGCACAACAGTGATTACATGTTCGTGTTATCACACGCAAACGTATATGTTCATTGGAATAATTAATGTGGAACATATATCGACAGCACGAACAGTGATGTCCATGTTTTCACATACAACATTCATCCTTGAAGCATGAATACTGAACCAAATTAAAAACTTCACAATCCTAAAATTTTAACATTTTGACCAGTTATCATTGTTGGCCCTTATTGTGTATTTAAACACTAATGGCCACGTATTGTCTTCAGGTAACACTCGTTTTTGTGCAGGTGAATCGATCAAAATCATGTGCACAGCACCATAGTGGAAAAAGTGTTTTTTCACGTGCAACTGGTCACGTGGCCATAACACCGCACGTCTTTTCAGCCATACTTGTTAGCAGTCATTAACACAAAAAAGAAAAACACAAGAAAACAAAAGTCTTTACGGCCATTTGTCATGCCACGCCTTTCAAATGTGCAACGTGAACGTGCCAACGGCATGTTGCAGACGGGAACGTCCGTGGCTGAAGTCGCAAGGACGATGGGTTGTAGTCCTGTTTATGATTTACAGACGCGTCTACAGCTAACGGGTACCACCGCTGATCGCCCTGGGCCAGGTCGACCACATGTGACGTCACATGCAGAGGATCGTCAGATTGTCTTACGTCACCTCTGTAACCGATTTTTGACGGCTACATCAACCAGAAACGAACTGTTTAGGGGTAGACTGAGTGCGCAAACCGAAACTGTTCGAAACCGTCTGAGAACTGCTCATCTTCAAGCACGACGGCCATACTGTGGGCCGATTCTGACTCAATTACACAGACGTCAACGTCAATTGTTGGCACAGTGACACTTACGATGGACTCTGAGGAATTGGAATCAAGTCGTCTTCAGTAATGAATCCCGATTTAATCTTCGATTTGCTGATGGTAGGGCGAGGATGTGGAGGCGCCGTCATGAACGTTACGCCCAGTGTTGTGTACAGGAAGTTGACAGATTTCGAGGCGGAAGTGTCATGGTGTGGGGTGCTTTCTGTGGCAATGCACGTTCCAGGTTTCTTGTCATCCGCGGCAACCTCATCGCTGCTGCTTGCCGCGACCGGGTACTAGCACCAGAACTTCTGCCTTTAATGGCAGCACGGTTTGATCTTCCAACACGACAATGCCAGACCCCACACAGCATTTTTGACGCTACTGAACTTGTGTGCCAACAGATTCTCGTGCTTGGGACTTATGACTTAAACTGTTGATGTTATTACCAAATACCGTAGGTACTTGGAACAAATTATGATTACCTTCGTTAATTAAAATCCGTCTTTTGACATTAATGATTAAAAATTACCTTCTCTGATACATTTGGCCGTTGTATATTATATATGGGATTACTTTTAAAAATGTCTAAGTTTTTAATTTGGCTGGCTTCACAAAACATCGCATCACGATATATTACCCTTAGACCACTCAGTTCCAGAGTGAATTTGGCAATTCCTCCCATCAACGAGAGAGCTATTGGTTCTGTGCTTCACAACACGTCACAGTTTAGTAAATTTAGCAAAAGAATTACTGTAACTAATGCCATCTGATCACCAATTTAGTCACCTTCTATGACGTACAGTAATCAGGCGACGAATTTAAGTAACATTCTAGACTCGTTTGGCTGTTTTCGTGTTTCACGTCATATGATCCTCCTATCTAACTCTGACTTGACCCTCCTGGGCCTGATTCCTCTGCAGAACACGTGGCAGAACAGTGGAACTTCCATCTGCATCAGTGTCGTCGGAATAACGTCTTTGAAGCTGTAACAAAACAGTGTTGCTTATTTGTGTTTTCCAGCGTGACGAGCAAGGATTAGTGTCTTGTAAAAATATTCATCTTACACATACATATCTCACAACATCACCAGGATACAGAGTGGAAATAGCTCCATAACAACTGAAATTATGATTACAAACATGTCACATGGATTTATTTTCATATATAATTCCATATCATATAAATATATAATTTATAGAATCTACATGCGTTCAAAATTAGTACGGTCAATATCTAAAATTCCATCACAATTCCATGTAAAATTCAGATGTGTTCTACTGTGCGATATGTTCATGTTAGATTCACTAAAAGCAATATGTGAACAGCTGTATCGGGCTATTTAGATTAAATATAAATTGTGCAAACAATTACACACCTTGTCCAACTGGATATCTGTTCATATCATTCAAATAGTAAGGCTTGGGTGAGAGATTAAATACTTAAGAAATAAGTGGGAGTTGTTTATCGTACAATAAAAAACTGCAGGGAGAATAAACCATGAGGCCAAAACGAGTGGTCAAAAGTTTGGTGCAGTTGATGGAAAGGTATTCAGTTCTTAAGAAAAACAAGTCATTAACTATTTAATACTTAGTACTTATCTTAAAGTATGAATTCAGTCTTAAATTATTACATCAGTGCAAATCTAGCAGAACGCAGGATGTACTTAAGGACCGAATTCAAAGTATCTAAACATATCTCAGTTCTAACCTCTCGTAACAAATGCGTATCTGTAGGACTCTCGTTTTTAAAACTTTATGTGCATTGAACCATCAGTCTACAATATCAAACGACAAACGTTTTATAAACGCTAGCAAAAAATGAATATTCTTTTCTTAAAATGAGGACTTAATTAATTTCAGGGCTTACAGAAACTGTGCATACAGAAGATTCTCATCTTAAAGTCCGGTTTATTAAGGACGTCCCAAAAACGAGGCTGCCAACCCCCATTTTGGTAAGTGGGATATAGGTGTCTATTTAGAGAATATTCGGTACTCAGCGATGTGGACTCCTAGAAGATCGTATTTGGTATGCAGGTTCAACATTAATTCCCAAAAATTGGTGTACGCAAATGTTTTCTTCATATATTTCTATTTTTCAGTAATTTTACTTGAAATCGCACCCTTTTCTCAATGCTTTTGAGATTTGTGATGAGTTTCAGTAATAGGAAAATGAGACTGAAAACGGTATTCAGGACTCAGGAGAGAATGGGGTTGGCACCCTAAAAATGTAGAAAGGTTCATCCACGTAACGGTGTCTGGCCCGGAGTGACCTGGAATCCCCATGGAATGTGTTGATATACTTCTAGGGTGTTCATGTAAACCCATTCTTGGCAGAGCTGCATTAGGCGTTTAACAAAGAGGCAAATGTCCATGTTCTTGTTTCAATACCCAAAATACTTCAAACTAGTTTCTAAAAACATCCTTAATAAACGTGGGACGCTGTTCTTACTATCAATCATAGGTTTGTCTGGTCACAGCTGGAATGTTGCGGAGTGCGGCGGAAAACAACAAGCAGCCTATTGAAGGTCTCACCGTGGTGATTCCGGGTCAGTATAGGTATTAGTATAGTCAAGGCGACCAAATGGATGCGATGTTCAGGCTCCACCACTTGGTTGAGGCAGTGTCATCGAGACCCAACGACTTTGGATGTATCTCGGGATGTCAATCACTTGTTTCTCGCGTCCATACTCGATTATTTACCGTCATATACATGTAGCTTGAATATCGCGGCTTTGACCAACATAGAATTACAGTGGATTCATTTATTTGTAACGCACATGAACGGCACACTCTGTGATAAAATGTTCATAGCTTCAAGTGCATTCGTTCACTGCATTTTATGGCGCTTCAAAAAACATTGCATCACGATTTATCTCCCTTAGACCGATCAACAGCCAAGTGAATGTAACACGTCCTCACTGCAGGAACGAGAGAGCAATCGGTTCTGTTTCATAAAGCGAAACAGTTCAGTAAAGCTACAATAACAATCAGTACATTTAATGTATAAATGTACAATAGTAGTTTCAGGTGATTCTGTTGAACACTGAGGCTCATATTTTACTTACATTCGTCCCATCTTCTGCTTATTGTTCTCAGCATAGCAAGCAAGGATAAGTGTCATGTAAATATCAATCCAACACCACCATAGCTTACACCACCTCTAGTTATAACACCGAAGGATTAACTCGGTGTTGCACTCACGTTATCATTACAAACAGGAAAAACACATCATACGGATGATCTGGTATTCGGAAATAATTGATCAACTTTAAATCGAAGTATATAATATATAAAATTAGACAATGCTCAGAATAGATCTCAATACGAGCAGTACACGAAGAATGTGTAAACAAGTTAAATCTTCATTCATCACATTCAAATAGTAAGGCTAAGATGCGAGCTTCAACACAAACGTAAAATGTGATTTTACCAAATACAGTGAAAGGTGCTTACAGGTAAATACACAATGACATATATCACTACACTTAAATCCCCCAACAAAGACGTGACTATAGTTTATTGAAAGGAGACTTGTGACATGTTCACTCACTTACATGTAAATACCTTCACTTCATCTGACATACACACGTACATACGGCCACGCCCACCATAACACACTCCACATGGATACTGGACACCATCCTGTGATGTCAGCATGTTTCTAACAAACTGTCCTGACTCAGTCAGATGGAGGACTCTGTGTAGATGGTTGTCTGTCACCAGGATGTCTCCTGTGCTGGTAGTTGTGATACCACGTGGATACTTCAGTGATGTGTTTCCTGTAGTGCTGTAGGTGAACACAACATCTCCCTCGGGAGCCAGACACATGACACACTTGGATCCACTGTCAGACACCAGGATGTTTCCTGTCCTCGTGGTACAGAGGAAGGAGGAATGCTTCAAGATGTATCTACTAGGTTGGCCTGGACAAATTCACCTCAGGACGTGTCCCGTCATATCCAGGATATCAACACAGAGAGGGAAGGCGGAACTTGCTGCTAGTGTTGATGGTGTCACAGACGTTATACCCCAGTACCGTTTGCTGGTTTTGATGGTTGACAGCAGCACCAGGTCAGGGTTGACTTGTACAGATAAAATCTGTCTGGAACCCGGCACAGTGACAGCCACCTGGTTGTCCTTCAACTTTGTTATACCAAACGGAGTACCACACACACTGAGCCTGCTGTGACCTGGCTGCTTGTTCCTGGTGTAGAAGGACTTCACACTGTTGTTGTTGTTGTCTGTGACTACCACTGTGTTTGTACCATTCACAACTAACACCGTCATGTCAATGAGGTTTGCTCCATATGTATCTCCTGCTACTCTGGTGTTAATGGTGTCCTGTAACACAGGAGTAGCCTTCAGGTCCAGCACGTTAATGGTGTCCTGTAACACAGGAGTAGCCTTCAGGTCCAGCACACCCTTATACAGGACGTCTATCTCACCCAGCTGTAGATCGTCCAGTGCTCTACTCAGCTTGTCCGTGTCCTGTCTGAACATGATCCTGGCTATTCTTCCCTTCTCCTTCACGTCTGTGACTCCGACAGCCTCCACATCACCGGCCTCACATCCCTGGTACATCTCATACACACCCATGTCACACTCAGATTGTAGAGTCTGGTCTATCAGCACAGCCTGTTGTTGGTACATCTGTACTGACATCTCACCTGACTTTATGTCTGCTTTCAGTTCTCCAATGTGTCTGCCAGACATTTCTTTCAGTTCAGCCAAAAGTTTCCGTTCCTTGACTTTGATCATCTCTATTGCTTTGAGACTTGCAGACTTGATATTCGATTCTATTTGTAAGTAAAGTGTTAATGCTTCATTGACTTTGGAGTTTTGTTTACCAATATGTGTTTTCATCTCGTCCTGTTTCTTCAACAAATCCTCTTTATTCCTTCTCAACTCGGTTTCCATTGCAGGAATCTCTGACTCAATTTCAACAACCAAGTCACATTTCCTGTGATGGATAGTGCAGCATGTTTGACAAACAGCTGTTTTACAATCTTTACAAATATATTTGATATTTTCATCTTTGTGAATTTTACACATGACCTTTCTCTTGACCCTAACCTTTGTCTCTCTAGACAGGTCAACTACGTCATGGTGTCGGGAAGATGGAATTCGTCTGTGTACTCGAATACATCGTTCACAGAGTGCGTCGTCACAAACAGAGCACCAAGATGTAGCCGGAGTTGTCTCCCCTTCCTCCTTGCAATAACTGCAGTGAGTGGTATCTGAAATATGAATGTAATCATGTAGAGATAGTAACAGTTCTATATCACTATCTATTACAAAACTTCATGTGGCATATCACTCGCACGTGTGAGACAACATGCATCAATAACATCCCAATACGACGTAATGTGAAATATTATGTAAATAACATTGGATTTGTCTCACTGATAGAAATCGCCATATAGATCTCAGAAAAAACAGCGATTGTGTCTGAGATAGACCTTAGACCATCTCTCTTTCGAATCATGTCTGGATAATCGTTGTTACTTGTTAAAACAGTGTACACGAAACGATTTCATGGTCTACATACAGCCTACAAACAACTTAATAAATGACTTTCGATATATTTTGAAACCATACAAAATATCTTCTCACTCAACATACATTCCTATAATCCAGTCAGGTGTGGAGTTGCCTGCTTAGAAGTAACATTTATATTCATACAAACCACAAACTCTCACCTTTAGATCCGGGGCCAAACGAGTCCAAGAGTCCCTGGATGACAAAGCTGGGCTTGACGTCATCCGCCCACTCCTCCACTGGTCTCTCAGGGGCAGACACTTTCGTCATCTAGCTGCAGAATGGACACAGGAGAGATTTGGCACTGATGGCTTCTGGTCTGGTTTTGGTGTAGTTGACGACACATTTCCGACAGAAGGTGTGATTACATACAAGTGTACAGGCCTTGTCAAACACCTCTGTACATATCGTGCATGTCAGGAAGTGTTCTGTTAACTTCTGGGAGGTCGCCATCTTACCTACACAAAGATCAACCAGCCGTTGTATTTCCGGTGTACACAAAAGACAAATTTTAGCCACAATCTGACTGGTAGAGCGTCCACCCGGAGAGCCGAAGGTCCGGGGTTCGATCCCCGCCCGCGTCACACAGAAAGACGTTAAAAGATGGTACTTGTTGTTACCCTGTCTGGCGCCCGGCATTAAGGGTCTAAAACAAGGACTGGTCGACTCGGAGTCAGTATACTGTGTCTGAGTGGGGTATTCATGTTAAACTGCGGCATGGTATCTCAGTGAGCTAGCACTATAAATCGGCATCAGTCACACAAACACACACGTACGCACATGCATGTCGCTATATCAGTGCAATAATCTTGGACGCGACGTTAAACCCCATTTTACCTCACCTCACAATCCGAGCGTACAGTTCTTGAACACTGACACTAAGACACTAAGGGGGACTTATTTACTGTCCCGTTCAAAACTAAGAAAGGGTATATTGTATCCTCCCATTCACCGACTGGATCGTCCAGATCTTGAAACAATTAACAAATATCCCGTTTCATAAGACCCATGAAGATTTGGGGTAGAATAGATCTTCAGCAACCTGTGCTTGCAGTCAAAGGCAACTGTGCTTGTCGTAAGAGGCGACAAACGGGATTGGGTGGTTTATGCATGTCATCATATCCCAATTGTGTGGATCAACGCTCATTATGTCAATCACTGGATTGTCTGGTCCAGACTCGATTATTTACAGACCGCCGTCATACAGCTGGAATATTGCTGAGTGCGGCCTTAAACAACAAACAAACAAAAGAAAAGTTATCTCAGATGTATGCATTTCTTATGAACAACCTAACATCCAGCTCTAATAGTGTGTATATATGTGTGTCTGTCTGTGTGGTGTGTGCGTGTTTCTCTCTCTCTCTCTCTCTCTCTCTCTCTCTCTCTCTCTCTCTCTCTCTCTCTCTCTCTCTCTCCTCTCATTGTGCAGGTGCATTTACAACATGAAGTGCGTGCACTTGTGAACCGTGTGCAGTGTATCGATTACGTGACATAGTTATGGGGTGACACCCACTCATTACCATATCGAAAGTAGGAGACATTATTACAGTTCACATAATAAAGAACCATATCAGATGTGAAATAATACAGTTATGTGGAATTATTTTCCCGTATGGTTTACTGAAGCATTTGTCTGGGATCATGTCAGTAACAACTGTAACAGACACACGTGATATATACATACACGTACATAGGGATCAGTCTCAGTATTGAAGTCAAGTGGCCGATCAGAGTATTTAATGACAGTGGATCTTTAAAGTATTCCGGTGAGCCTACATGTTATATTTAATTAGGTGCCCGGTTATGAGAATCTGCCTGGAGATGACTGTATAGTTAGATGAACCCTTGTGGTGTTACCACTACACAGTAGGACAGGTTTGTAGCGTTAAAAGTGAAGCAGACACAAGCCTTGTGACAACACACTTACCTGAGACAAACGGGTTACCGCTGTGGAGGGAAATTGAGCCATTGTGAGTTTCGTTACCAACTCGTGTCAAAGTAGGACAAGCTGCTTGCAGGTTACAGAAATAGCGGCGAGTGGAGGCGAATGGGCGTTTTGTATTTGTTCTAAATACATTGGGTCTAGATTAGATTAATTAAAAGCCGCTTTCATGGAGCTGGAATAATCCTGAGTGCCGCGACAACAACAAACAAACTTACAGACTGACATGATACAGCTGTAATATTGATGACAGGAAAACTACAAATATTTACTCAAAAATAAGTTACGATACTCACTTCTTCCAGGTTTCCTTCACCTGTTTAACATAATTATTTACCAACATACAGTGGCTAATATCTCTGTAAGCTGCTCTCAAACTAATTGTTTCAAGCTCACTTGGTGGGTACAATGTACAATAAGCACAAAGTCGTAAATGCTGTATCTTTCTGTACTTTGCATCAAGCATCGATAGCACAACAGTGATTACATGTTCGTGTTATCACACGCAAACGTATATGTACATTGGATTAATTAATGTGGAACATATATCGACAGCACGAACAGTGATGTCCATGTTTTCACATACAACATTCATCCTTGAAGCATGTATACTGAACCAAATTAAAAACTTCACAATCCTAAAATTTTAACATTTTGACCAGTTATCATTGTGGGCCCTTATTGTGTCTATAAACACTAATGGCCACGAGTTGTCTTCAGGTAACACCCATTTTTGTGCAGGTGAATCGATCAAACTCAAGTGCACAGCACCATAGTGGAAAAAGTGTTTTTTTCACGTGCAACTGGTCACGCGGCCATAAAACACCGCACGTTTTTTCAGCCATACTTGTTAGCAGTCATTAACAAAAAAAGAAAAACACAGGAAAACAAAAGTCTTTACGGCCATTTGTCATGCCACGCCTTTCAAATGTGCAACGTGAACGTGCCAACGGCATGTTGCAGACGGGAACGTCCGTAGCTGAAGTCGCAAGGACGATGGGTTGTAGTCCTGTTTGTGATTTACAGACGCGTCTACAGCTAACGGGTACCACCGCTGATCGCCCTCGGCCAGGTCGGCCACGTGTGACGTCACATGCAGAGGATCGTCAGATTGTCTTACGTCACCTCTGTAACCGATTTTTGACGGCTACATCAACCAGAAACGAACTGTTTAGGGATAGACTGAGTGCGCAAACTGAAACTGTTCGAAACCGTCTGAGAACTGCTCATCTTCAAGCACGACGGCCATACTGTGGGCCGATTCTGACTCAGACGTCAACGTCAATTGTTGACACAGTGACACTTACGATGGACTCAATTGGAATCAAGTCGTCTTCAGTAATGAATCCCGATTTAATCTTCGATTTTCTGATGGTAGGGCGAGGGTGTGGAGGCGCCGTCATGAACGTTACGCCCAGAGTGTGTACAGGAAGTTGACAGATTTCGAGGCGGAAGTGTCATGGTGTGAGGTGCTTTCTGTGGCAATGCACGTTCCAGGTTTCTTGTCATCCGTGGCAACCTCATCGCTGCTGCTTGCCGCGACCGGGTACTAGCACCAGAACTTCTGCCTTTGATGGCAGCACATGGACCCGGTTTGATCTTCCAACACGACAATGCCAGACCCCACACAGCAATTTTGACGATACTGAACTTGTGTGCCAACAGATTCTCGTGCTTGGGACTTATGACTTAAACTGTTGATGTTATTAGCAAATACCGTAGGTGCTTGGAACAAATTATGGTTACCTTCGTTAATTAAAATCCGTCTTTTGACATTAATGATTAAAAATTACCTTCTCTGATACATTTGGCCGTTGTATATTATATATGGGATTACCTTTAAAAATGTTTAAGTTTATGATTTGACTGGCTTCACAAAACATCGCATCATGATTTATTACCCTTAGATCACTCAGTTCCAGAGTGAATTTGGCAATTCCTCCCAACAACGAGAGAGCTATTGGTTCTGTGCTTCACAACACGCCACAGTTTAGTAAATTTAGCAAAAGAATTACTGTAACTAATGCTTAGCAGCCGTTGGGACCAACTGATCACCAATTTAGTCACCTTCTATGACGTACAGAAATCAGGCGACGAATTTAAGTAACATTCTAGACTCGTTTGGCTGTTTTCGTGTTCGACGTCATATGATCCGCCTATCTAACTCTGACTTGACTCTCCTGGGCCTGAATCCTCTGCAGGACACGTGGCAGAACAGTGGAACTTCCATCCGCATCAGTGTCGTCGGAATAACGTCTTTAAAGCTGTAACAAAACAGTGTTGCTTATTTGTGTTTTCCAGGGTGACGAGCAAGGATTAGTGTCTTGTAAAAATATTCATCTTACACATACATGTCTCACAACATCACCAGGATACAGAGTGGAAATAGCTCCATAACAACTGAAATTATGATAACAAACATGTCACATGGATTTATTTTCATATATAATTCCATATCATATAAATATATAATTTATAGAATCCACATGCGTTCAAAATTAGTACGGTCAATATCTAAAATTACACACCTTGTCCAACTGGATATCTGTTCATATCATTCAAATAGTAAGGCTTGGGTGAGAGATTAAATACTTAAGAAATAAGTGGGAGTTGTTTATCGTACAATAAAAAACTGCAGGGAGAATAAACCATGAGGCCAAAACGAGTGGTCAAAAGTTTGGTGCAGTTGATGGACAGGTGTCCAGTTCTTTAGAAAAGCAAGTCATTAACTATTTAATACTTAGTACTTATCTTAAAGTATGAATTCAGTCTTAAATTATTACATCAGTGCAAATCTAGCAGAACGCAGGATGTACTTATGAACCGAATTCAAAGTATCTAAACATATCTCAGTTCTAACCTCTCGAAATAAATGCGTATCTGTAGGACTCTCGTTTTTAAAACTTTATGTGCGTTCAACCATTAGTCTACAATATCAAACGACAAACGTTTTATAAACGCTAGCAAAAAATGTATATTCTTTTCTTAAAATGAGGACTTAATTAATTTCAGGGCTTACAGATACTGTGCATACAGAAGATTCTCAACTTGAAGTCCGGTTTATTAAGGACGTCCCAAAAACGAGGCTGCCAACCCCCATTTTGGTAAGTGGGATTTAGGGGTCTATTTAGAGCGTATTCTGTACTCAGCGATGTGGACTCCTAGAAGATCGTATTTGGTATGCAGGTTCAACATTAATTCTAAAAAATTGGTGTACGCAAATGTTTTCTTCATATATTTCTTTTTTCTATTTTTCAGTAATTTTACTTGAAATCGCACCCTTTTCTCAATGCTTTTGAGATTTGTGATGAGTTTCAGAAATAGGAAAATGAGATTGTAAACGGTATTCAGGACTCAGAAGAGAATGGGGTTGGCACCCTAAAAATGTAGAAAGGTTCATCCACGTAACGGTGTTTGGCCCGGAGTGACCTGGAATCCCCACGGAATGTGTTGATATACTTCTAGGGTGTTCATGTAAACCCATTCTTGGCAGAGCTGCATTAGGCGTTGAACAAAGAGGCAAATGTCCATGTTCTTGTTTCAATACCCAAAATACTTAAAACTAGTTTCTAAAAACATCCTTAATAAACGTGGGACGCTGTTCTTACTATCAATCAGAGGTTTGTCTGGTCATAGCTGGAATATTGCAGAGTGCGGCGGAAAACAACAAGCAGCCTATTCAAGGTCTCCCCGCCGTAATTCCGGGTCAGTATAGGTCCTCGGCACCCTGTGCTTGTTGTTCGAGGCGACCAAATGGATGCGATTGTCAGACCCCGTCACTTGGTTGATTCAGTGTCATCATGACCCAACGACTTGAATGTTCCTTGTGATGTCAATCACTGGTTTCTTGCGTCCATACTCGATTATTTACCGTCATATACATGTAGCTTGAATATTGCAGCGTTGACCAACGTAGAATTACAGTGGATTCATTTATTTGTAACACACATAAACGGCACACTCTGTGGTAGAATGTTCATAGCTTTAAGTGCATTCGTTCACAGCATTTGATGGCGCTTCAAAAGCATTGCATCACGATTTATCTCCCTTAGACCGATCAACGGCCAAGTGAATGTAACACGTCCTCACTGCAGGAACGGGAGAGCAATCGGTTCTGTGTTTCATAACGCGAAACAGTTAAGTAAAGCTACCAAAACAATTAGTACATTTAATGTATATATCTATATACATCTATATCATGTGATTGTGTTGAACACTGATACCTATATTTCACGTATATCTGTCCCATCTTCTGCTTATTGTCCTCAGCATAGCAAGCAAGGATTACTGTCATGTAAATATCCATCCTACACCGCCATAGCTCACACCACCTTTAGTTATAACACAGAAGGATTAGCTCCGTGTTACACTCGCGTTATGATTACAAACATGAAAAACACATCATACGGACGATCTGGTATTCAGAAATAATGAATCCACTTTTATTCGAAGTTCATAATACATTAAATTAGACAATGCTCAAAATAGATTATAGTGATACGAGCAGTACACGAAAAGCCATGTCTTGCTACTCAGATAACACATAAAATGTTTACACAAGTTAAATCTTCATTCACAATTCATTCAACGCAAATGTAGAATGTGATTTTACCAAATACAGTGAAATGTGCTTACAGTTAAATACACAATGACACATATCACTGCACATAAATCCCCCAACAAAGACGTGACTATAGTTTATTGAAAGGAGACTTGTGACATGTTCACTCACTTACAGCATGTAAATACCTTCACGCTATCTGGTGTACACACGTACATACAGCCACGCCCACCAACACATACTCCACATGGACTCTGGACACCATCCTGTGATGTCAGCATGTTTCTAACAAACTGTCCTGACTCAGTCAGATGGAGGACTCTGTGTAGATGGTAGTCTGTCACCAGGATGTCGCCTGTGCTGGTGCTGGTGATACCAAGTGGATACTTCAGTGATGTGTCTCCTGTAGGGCTGTAGTTGAACACCACATCTCCCTCGGGAGTCAGACACACAACACACATGGATCCCGTGTCACACACCAGGATGTTTCCTGTCCTCGTGGTACAGAGGAAGTAGGGATACTTCAAGATGCATCTACTAGGTTGTCCTGGACAAATTGACTTCAGCACGTGTCCCGCCATATCCAGGATATCAACACAGGGAGGGGAGCTGGAACTTGCTGCTAGTGTTGATGGTGTCAGAGACGTTATACCCCAGTACTGTTTGCTGGTTTTGATGGTTGACAGCAGCATCAGGTCAGGGTTGACTTGTACTGTTACAATCTGACTGGAACCCAGCACAGTGACAGCCACCTGGTTGTCCTTCAACATTGTTATACCTTACGGAGGACCACACACACTGAGCCTGCTGAGACATGGCTGCTTGTTCCTGGTGTAGAAGGACTTCACACTGTTGTTGTTGTTGTCTGTGACTACAACTGTGTCTGTACCATTCACCACAAACACCTTCACGTCAGTGGGGCATGCCCCATATGTATCTCCTGCTACTCTGGTGTTAATGGTGTCCTGTAACACAGGAGTCGCCTTCAGGTCCAGCACGTTAATGGTGTCCTGTAACACAGGAGTAGCCTTCAGGTCCAGTACATCCTCATACAGGACGTCTATCTCACCCAGCTGTAGATCGTCCAGTGCTCTACTCAGCTTGTCCGTGTCCTGTCTGAACATGATCCTGGCTATTCTTCCCTTCTCCTTCATGTCTGCGACTCCGACAGCCTCCACATCACCGGCCTCACATCCCTGGTACATCTCATACACACCCATGTCACACTCAGATTGTAGAGTCTGGTCTATCAGCTCAGCCTGTTGTTGGTACATCTGTACTGACATCTCACCTGACTTTATGTCTGCCTTCAGTTCTTCAATGTGTTTGTCAGACATTTCTTTCAGTTCAGCCAAAAGTTTCCGTTCTTTGATTTTCATCACCTCTATTGCTTTGAGACTTGCAGACTTGATATTCGATTCTATTTGTAAGTAATGCTTTAATGCTTCATCTACTTTGGGGGTTTGTTTACCAATATGTGTTTTCATCTCATCGTGTTTCTTCAACAAATCCTCTTTATTCCTTCTCAGCTCGGTTTTCATGGCAGGAATCTCTGACACAATTTCTACAACCAAGTCACATTTCCTGTGATGGATAGTGCAGCATGTTTGACAAACAGCTGTTTTACAATCTTTACAAATATATTTGATATTTTCATCTTTGTGAATTTTACACATGACCTTTCTCTTGACCTTAACCTTTGTCTCTCTAGACAGGTCAACTACGTCATGGTGACGGGAAGATGGAATTCGTCTGTGTACTCGAATACATCGTTCACAGAGTGCGTCGTCACAAACAGAGCACCAAGATGTAGCCGGAGTTGTCTCCCCTTCCTCCTTGCAATAACTGCAGTGAGTGGTATCTGAAATATGAATGTAATTATGTAGAGATAGCAACAGTTCTATATCACTATCTATTACAAAACTTCATGTGGCATATCACTCACACGTGTGAGACAACATGCATCAATAACATCCCAATACGACGTAATGTGAAATATTATGTAAATAACATTGGATTTGTCTCACTGATAGAAATCGCCATATAGATCTCAGAAAAAACAGCGATTGTGTCTGAGATAGACCTTAGACCATCTCCCTTTCGAATCAGTTCCGGATAATCGTTGTTACTTGTTAAAACAGTGTACACGAAACGATTTCATAGTCTACATACAGCCTACAAACAACTTAATAAATGACTTTCGATATATTTTGAAACCATACAAAATATTTTCTCACTCAACACACATTCCTATAATCCAGTCAGGTGTGGAGTTACCTGCTTAGAAATAACATTTATATTCATACAAACCACAAACTCTCACCTTTAGATCCGGGGCCAAACGAGTCCAAGAGTCCCTGGATGACAAAGCTGGGCTTGACGTCATCCGCCCACTCCTCCACTGGTCTCTCAGGGGCAGACACTTTCGTCATCTTGTTGCAGAATGGACACAGGAGAGACTTGGCACTGATGGCTTCTGGTCTGGTTTTGGTGTAGTTGACGACACATTTCCGACAGAAGGTGTGATTACATACAAGTGTACAGGGCTTGTCAAACACCTCTGTACATATCGTGCTTCTGGGAGGTCGCCATCTCAGCTACAAAAAGACAAAAGCACCTGTTGTATTTCCGGTGTACACAAAAGACAAATTTTAGCCACAATCCGAGTGGTAGATCGTCGACCCGGAGAGCGGAAGGTCCTGGGTTCGATCCCCGCCCGCGTCATACCGAAAGATGTTAAAAGATAGTACTTGTTGTTACTCTGTCTGGCGCTCGGCATTAAGGGTCTAAAACAAGGACTGGTCGACTCGGAGTCAGTATACTGTGTCTGAGTGGGATATTAATGTTAAACTGAGGCATGGTATCTTAGTGAGCTAGCACTATAAATCGGCTTCAGTCCGGACTATTACAAGCAGCTACACAAACAAACACGTACGTACATGCATGTCGCTATAAAACTCCAGTAATGTTGGACGCGACGTTAAACCCCGTTTTATCTCACCTCACCTCACAATCCGAGCGTACAGTTCTTGAACAAGTGACACTAAGACTTGACTGTAGTAGGGGGACTTATTCATTGTCCTGTTCAAAACTAAGAAAGGGTATATTGCATCATCCCATTCACCGACTGGATCATCCAGATCTTGAAACAAGTAACAAATATCCCGTTTCATACTTGACCCGTGAAGATTCGGGATAGAATAGATCTTCAGCAATCCATGCTTGCAGTAAAAGGCGACTATGCTTGTCGTAAGAGGCGACTAACGGGATCGGGTGGTCTGGCTCGCTGACTTGGTTGATGCATGTCATCGTATCCAAATTGTGTGGAACTGGATTGTCTGGTCCAGACTCGATTATTTACAGACCGCCGTCATATAACTGAAATATTGCTGAGTGCGGCGTTAAACAACAAACAAACAAAAGAAAACATTTGATGTATGCATTCCTTATGAACAAGCTAACATCCAGCTTTAATAGTGTGTATATATGTGTGTCAGTCTGTGTGGTGTGTGCGTGTTTCTCATCTCTCTCTCTCTCTCTCTCTCTCTCTCTCTCTCTCTCTCTCTCTCTCTCTCTCTCTCTCTCTCTCTCTCTTGTGCAGGTGGATTTACACCATGAGGTGTGTGCACTTGTGAAACGTGTTCAGTGTTTCGATCACGTGACATAGGTATGGGGGTGACACCAACTCATTACCATATCGAAAGTAGGAGACATTAAGTTCAGACGATATGGAATAATACAGTTATCTAGAAGTATTTTCCTATATTGTTTACTGAGGCATTTGTCAGGGATCATGTCAGTAATAACTGTAAAAGACACACGTGATGTATACATACACATACGCCGGGATCGATCTCTGTATTGAAGTCAAGTGGCCGACTGAAGGAAATAGTGAAAGTGGATCTTTGAAATAGTCTGGTTAGCCTACAGGTTACATTTAATTAGGTCATGAGAATCTGCCTAGTTAGATGAACCCTTGTGGTGTTACCAGTACACAGCAGGACAGGTGTGTAGCGTTTTAAGTGAAGTAGACGCAAGCCTTGTGACAACACACTTACCCGAGACAAGCAGGTTACCGGTGTCGAGGGAAATTGAGCAGCCAGTGAGATCTATCCTAGAGGGGTGTGGGCGTGATTCGTTCGTTACCAACTCGTGTCATTCCGGGACAAGCTGCTTGCAGGTCACAGAAATAGGAGCGAATGGAGGCGAATGGGCGTTTTGTATTTGTTCTAAACACTCTTGGTCTAGATTCGATTATTTAAAGGCCGCTTTCATGGAGCTGGAATAATCCTGAGGGCCGCGTAAACAACAAACAACTTTACAGACTGACATTACAGCTGTAATATTGATGACAGGAAAACTACAATTATTTACTCGAGAATATGTCACGATACTCACTTCTTGCGGGTTTCCTTCACCTGTTTAACATGTTTATTTACCAACATACAGTGGCTAATATCTCTGTAAGCTGCTCGCAAACTAATTCCTTCAAGCTCACTTGGTTGGTGCAAAATACAATAAGCACAAAGTCGTAAATGCTGTATGTTTCTGTACTTTGCATCAAGCGTCGATAGCACAACAGTGATTACATTTCCGTGTTATCACACGCAAATCACAAAACATCGCATCACGATTTATTACCATCGAACAGCTCAGTTCCAGGGTGAATGTGGCAATTCCTCCCAACAACGAGAGAGCTATTGGTTCTGTGCTTCACAACACGTCAAAGTTTAGTAACTTTAGCAAAAGAATTACTGCAACTAATGCTTAGCAGCCGTTGTGAACAACTGATCACCAATTTAGTCACCTTCTATGACGTACAGAAATCAGCTGACGGAATTTAAGTAACATTCTAGAGTCGTTTGGCTGTTTTCGTGTTCCACGTCATATGATCCGCCTATCTTAACTCTGACTTGACTCTCCTGGGCCTGAATCCCCTGCAGGACACGTGGCAGAACAGTGGAACTTCCATCCGCATCAGTGTCGTCGGAATAACGTCTTTAAAGCTGTAACAAAACAGTGTTGCTCATTTGTGTTTTCCTGCGGGACGAGCAAGGATTAGTGTCTTGTAAAAATATTCATCATACACATACATATCTCACAACATCACCAGGATACAGAGTGGAAATAGCTCCTTAACATCTGAAATTATGATTACAAACATGTCACATGGATTTATTTTCAGATATAATTCCATATAATATAAACATATAATTTATAGAATCCACATACGTTCAAAATAAGTACGGTCAATATTTAAAATTCCATCACAATTCCATATAAAATTCAGATGTGTTCTACTGTGCGATATGTTCATGTTAGATTCATAAAAGCAGTGTGTGTACAGCTGTATCTGGCTATTTAGATTACATATAGATTGTGCAAACAATTACACACCTTGTCCAACTGGATATCTGTTCATATCATTCAAATAGTAAGGCTTGGATGAGAGATTAAATACTTATGAAATAAGTGGGAGTTGTTTATCGTACAATAAAACACTGCAGGGAGAATAAACCATGAGGCCAAAACGAGTGGTCAAAAGTTTGGTGCAGTTGATGGACAGGTGTTAAGTTCTTTAGAAAAGCAAGTCATTAACTATTTAATACTTAGTACTTATCTTAAAGTATGAATTCAGTCTTAAATTATTACATCAGTGCAAATCTAGCAGAACGCAGGATGTACTTATGAACCGAATTCAAAATATCTAAACATGTCTCAGTTCTAACCTCTCGTAACAAATGCGTATCTGTAGGACTCTCGTTTTTAAAACTTTATGTGCGTTCAACCATCAGTCTACAATATCAAACGACAAACGTTTTATAAACGCTAGCAAAAAATGTATATTCTTTTCTTAAAATGAGGACTTAATTAATTTCAGGGCTTACAGATACTGTGCATACAAAAGATTCTCAACTTAAAGTCCGGTTTATTAAGGACGTGCCAAAAACGAGGCTGCCAACCCCCATTTTGGTAAGTGGGATTTAGGGGTCTATTTAGAACGTATTCTGTACTCAGCGATGTGGACTCCTAGAAGATCGTATTTGGTATGCAGGTTCAACATTAATTCTAAAAAATTGGTGTTCGCAAATGTTTTCTTCATATATTTCTTTTTTTTCTATTTTTCAGTAATCTTACTTGAAATCGCACCCTTTTCTCAATGCTTTTGAGATTTGTGATGAGTTTCAGAAATAGGAAAATGAGACTGAAAACGGTATTCAGTTACTCAGAAGAGAATGGGGTTGGCGACCTAAAAATGTAGAAAGGTTCATCCACGTAACCGTGTCTGGCCCGGAGTGACCTGGAATCCCCACGGAATGTGTTGATATACTTCTAGGGTGTTCGTGTAAACCCATTCTTGGCAGAGCTGCATTAGGCGTTGAACAAAGAGGCAAATGTCCATGTTCTTGTTTCAATACCCAAAATACTTCAAACTAGTTTCTAAAAACATCCTTAATAAACGTGGGACGCTGTTCTTACTATCAATCATAGGTTTGTCTGGTCATAGCTGGAATGTTGTGGAGTGCGGCGGAAAACAACAAGCAGCCTATTCAAGGTCTCCCCGCTGTAATTCCGGGTCAGTATAGGTCCTCGGCACCCTGTGCTTGTCGTTCGGGGCGACCAAATGGATGCGATGGTCAGACCCCGTCACTTGGTTGATTCAGTGTCATCGTGACCCAACGACTTGGATGTTGCTCGTGATGTCAATCAATGGTTTCTTGCGTCCATACTCGAGTAATTACCGTCATACATGTAGCTTGAATATTGCAGCGTTGACCAACGTAGAATTACAGTGGATTCATTTATTTGTAACACACATAAACGGCACACTCTGTGGTAGAATGTTCATAGCTTCAAGTGCATTCGTTCACTGCATTTGATGGCGCTTCAAAAAACATTGCATCACGATTTATCTCCCTTAGACCGATCAACGGCCAAGTGAATGTAACACGTCCTCACTGCAGGAACGGGAGAGCAATCGGAGTTTAGTGATAAGAGCATTACTCGAAGAGCCATGTCTTGCTACTCAGATAACACATAAAATGTTTACACAAGTTAAATCTTCATTCACAATTCATTCAACGCAAATGTAGAATGTGATTTTACCAAATACAGTGAAATGTGCTTACAGTTAAATACACAATGACACATATCACTGCACATAAATCCCCCAACAAAGACGTGACTATAGTTTATTGAGAGGAGACTTGTGACATGTTCACTCACTTACATGTAAATACCTTCACTCCATCTGGTGTACACACGTACATGCGGCCACGCCCACAAACACACACTCCACGTGGATTCTGGACACCATCCTGTGATGTCAGCATGTTTCTAACAAACTGTCCTGACTCAGTCAGATGGAGGACTCTGTGTAGTTGGTAGTCTGTCACCAGAATGTCGCCTGCGCTGGTGCTGGTGATACCAAGTGGAAACATCAGTGATGTGTCTCCTCTAGGGCTGTAGGTGAACACCACATCTCCCTCGGGAGTCAGACACACGACACACCTGGATCCCCAGTCAGACACCAGGATGTTTCCTGTCCTCGTGGTACAGAGGTAGAGGGGATTCTTCAAGATGCATCTACTAGGTTGTCCTGGACAAATTGACTTCAGCACGTGTCCCGCCATATCCAGGATATCAACACAGGGAGGGAGGCTGGAACTTGCTGCTAGTGTTGATAGTGTCAGAGACGTGATACCCCGGTACTGTTTGCTGGTTGGGATGGCTGACAGCAGCACCAGGTCAGGGTTGACTTGTACTGTTACAATCTGTCTCGTACCTTGCACAGTGACAGCCACCTGGTTGTCCTTCAACATTGTTATACCCCACGGAGGACCACCCAGACTGAGCCTGCTGTGACATGGCTGCTTGTTCCTGGTGTAGAAGGACTTCACACTGTTGTTGTTATAGTCTGTGACTACCACTGTGTCTGTACCATTCACCACTAACATCGTCATGTCATAGGGGTATGTATCTCCTGCTTCTCTGACGTTAATGGTGTCCTGTAACACAGGAGTAGCCTTCAGGTCCAGCACGTTAATGGTGTCCTGTAACACAGGAGTCGCCTTCAGGTCCAGCACATCCTCATACAGGACGTCTATCTCACCCAGCTGTAGATCGTCCAGTGCTCTACTCAGCTTGTCCGTGTCCCGTCTGAACATGATCCTGGCTATTCTTCCCTTCTCCTTCACGTCTGTGACTCCGACAGCCTCCACATCACCGGCCTCACATCCCTGGTACATCTCATACACACCCATGTCACACTCAGATTGTAGAGTCTGGTCTATCAGCTCAGCCTGTTGTTGGTACATCTGTACTGACATCTCACCTGACTTTATGTCTGCCTTCAGTTCTCCAATGTGTTTGTCAGACATTTCTTTCAGTTCAGCCAAAAGTTTCCGTTCCTTGACTTTGATCATCTCTATTGCTTTGAGACTTGAAGACTTGATATTCGATTCTATTTGTAAGTAAAGCGTTAATGCGTCATCGACTTTGGAGGTTTGTGTTCTTACATGTGTTTTCATCTCGTTGTATTTCTTCAACAAATCCTCTTTATTCTTTCTCAGCTCGGTTTTCATTGCAGGAATCTCAGACTCAATTTCAACAACCAAGTCACATTTCCTGTGATGAATAATGCAGCATGTTTGACAAACAGCTGTTTGACAATCTTTACAAATATATTTGATATTTTCATCTTTGTGAACTTTACACATGACCTTTCTCTTGACCTTCACCTTTGTCTCTCCAGACAGGTCAACTACGTCATGGTGTCGGGAAGATGGAATTCGTCTGTGTACTCGAATACATCGTTCACAGAGTGCGTCGTCACAAACAGAGCACCAAGATGTAGCTGGAGTTGTCTCCCCTTCCTCCTTGCAATAACTACAGTGAGTCGTATCTGAAATAGGAATGTGATCATGTAGAGATAGTAACAGTTCTATATCACTACCTACTACAGAACTTCATGTGGCATATCACTCACACGGGTGAGACAACATGCATCAATAACATCCCAATACGTCTTAATGTGAAATATGTAAATAACATTGGATTTGTCTCACTGATAGAAATCGCCATATAGATCTCAGAAAAAACAGCGATTGTGTCTGAGATAGACCTTAGACCATCTCCCTTTCGAATCATGTCTGGATAATCGTTGTTACTTGTAAAAACAGTGTACACGAAACGATTTCATGGTCTACATACAGCCTACAAACAACTTAATAAATGATTTTCGATATATTTTGAAACCATACAAAATATCTTCTCACTAAACATACATTCCTATAATCCAGTCAGGTGTGGAGTTGCCTGCTTAGAAGTAACATTCATATTCATACAAACCACAAACTCTCACCTTTAGATCCGGGGCCAAACGAGTCCAAGAGTCCCTGGATGACAAAGCTGGGCTTGACGTCATCCGCCCACTCCTCCACTGGTCTCTCAGGGGCAGACACTTTCGTCATCTTGCTGCAGAATGGACACAGGAGAGACTTGGCACTGGTGGCTTCTGGTCTGGTTTGGGTGTAGTTGACGACACATTTCCGACAGAAGGTGTGATTACATACAAGTGTACAGGGCTTGTCAAACACCTCTGTACATATCGTGCATGTCAGGAAGTGTTCTGTTAACTTCTGTGAGGTCGCCATCTTACCTAGAAAAAAACAAACCAGTCGAGTATTGCCTGTGTACAAAACATGCACGTCTTATCCACAACCCGAGCTTACCACTCTTAAACACTAAGGCCGACTTCAGTTGTGATAATTTACTCTCCCGATCAAAAATTAAAAAAATATCGATTGTGTATTCACCTATCTTACCTACACAAAGATCAACCAGCCGTTGTATTTCCGGTGTACACAAAAGACAAATTTTAGCCACAATCTGACTGGTAGAGCGTCCACCCGGAGAGCCGAAGGTCCGGGGTTCGATCCCCGCCCACGTCACACCGAAAGACGTTAAAAGGTGGTACTTGTTGTTACCCTGTCTGGCGCCCGGCATTAAGGGTCTAAAACAAGGACTGGTCGACTCAGAGTCAGTATACTGTGTCTGAGTGGGGTATTCATGTTAAACTGCGGCATGGTATCTCAGTGAGCTAGCACTATAAATCGGCATCAGTCACACAAACACACACGTACGCACATGCATGTCGCTATATCAGTGCAATAATCTTGGACGCGACGTTAAACCCCATTTTACCTCACCTCACAATCCGAGCGTACAGTTCTTGAACACTGACACTAAGACCGACTGTAGTAGGGGGACTTATTTACTGTCCCGTTCAAAACTAAGAAAGGGTATATTGTATCCTCCCATTCACCGACTGGATCGTCCAGATCTTGAAACAATTAACAAATATCCCGTTTCATAAGACCCATGAAGATTTGGGGTAGAATAGATCTTCAGCAACCTGTGCTTGCAGTCAAAGGCAACTATGCTTGTCGTAAGAGGCGACTAACGGGATCGGGTGGTTTATGCATGTCATCATATCCCAAGTGTGTGGATCAACGCTCATTATGTCAATCACTGGATTGTCTGGTCCAGACTCGATTATTTACAGACCGCCGTCATACAGCTGGAATATTGCTGAGTGCGGCCTTAAACAACAAACAAACAAAAGAAAAGTTATCTCAGATGTATGCATTTCTTATGAACAACCTAACATCCAGCTCTAATATTGTGTATATATGTGTGTCTGTCTGTGAGGTGTGTGCGTGTTCTCTCTCTCTCTCTCTCTCTCTCTCTCTCTCTCTCTCTCTCTCTCTCTCTCTCTCTCTCTCTCTCTCTCATTGTGCAGGTGCATTTACAACATGAAGTTCGTGCACTTGTGAGCCGTGTGCAGTGTATCGATCACGTGACATAGTTATGGGGTGACACCCACTCATTACCATATCGAAAGTAGGAGACATTATTACAGTTCACATAATAAAGAACCATATCAGATGTGAAATAATACAGTTATGTGGAATTATTTTCCCGTATGGTTTACTGAAGCATTTGTCTGGGATCATGTCAGTAACAACTGTAACAGACACACGTGATATATACATACACGTACATAGGGATCAGTCTCAGTATTGAAGTCAAGTGGCCGATCAGAGTATTTAATGACAGTGGATCTTTAAAGTATTCCGGTGAGCCTACATGTTATATTTAATTAGGTGCCCGGTTATGAGAATCTGCCTGGAGATGACTGTATAGTTAGATGAACCCTTGTGGTGTTACCACTACACAGTAGGACAGGTGTGTAGCGTTATAACTGAAGTAGACGCAAGCCTTGTGACAACACACTCACCTGAGACAAGCAGATAACCGCTGTGGAGGGAAATTGAGCCACCGTGAGTTTCGTTACCAACTCGTGTCAAAGTAGGACAAGCTGCTTGCAGGTCACAGAAATAGCGGCGAGTGGAGGCGAATGGGCGTTTTGTATTTGTTCTAAATACACTGGGTCTAGATTCGATTATTTAAAGGCCGCTTTCATGGAGCTGGAATAATCCTGAGTGCCGCGACAACAACAAACAAACTTACAGACTGACATGATACAGCTGTAATATTGATGACAGGAAAACTATAAATATTTACTCAAAAATAAGTTACGATACTCACTTCTTGTGGGTTTCCTTCACCTGTTTAACATAATTATTTACCAACATACAGTGGCTAATATCTCTGTAAGCTGCTCTCAAACTAATTGTTTCAAGCTCACTTGGTGGGTGCAATGTACAATAAGCACAAAGTCGTAAATGCTGTATCTTTCTGTACTTTGCATCAAGCATCAATAGCATAACAGTGATAACATGTTCGTGTTATCACACACAAACGTATATGTACATTGGAATAATTAATGTGGAACATATATCGACAGCACGAACAGTGATGTCCATGTTTTCACATACAACATTCATCCTTGAAGCATGTATACTGAACCAAATTAAAAACTTCACAATCCTAAAATTTTAACATTTTGACCAGTTATCATTGTGGGCCCCTTATTGTGTATTTAAACTGTAATGGCCACGTATTGTCTTCAGGTAACACTCGTTTTTGTGCAGGTGAATCGATGAAAATCATGTGCACAGCACCATAGTGGAAAAAGTGTTTTTTCACGTGCAACTGGTCACGTGGTCATAACACCGCACGTCTTTTCAGCCATACATGTTAGCAGTCATTAACAAAAAAAGAAAAACACAAGAAAACAAAAGTCTTTATGGCCATTTGTCATGCCACGCCTTTCAAATGTGCAACGTGAACGTGACAACGGCATGTTGCAGACGGGAACGTCCGTGGCTGAAGTCGCAAGGACGATGGGTTGTAGTGCTGTTTATGATTTACAGACGCGTCTACAGCTAACGGGTACCACCGCTGATCGCCCTGGACCAGGTCGACCACGTGTGACGTCACATGCAGAGGATAGTCAGATTGTCTTACGTCACCTCTGTAACCGATTTTTGACGGCTACATCAACCAGAAACGAACTGTTTAGGGATAGACTGAGTGCGCAAACTGAAACTGTTCGAAACCGTCTGAGAACTGCTCATCTTCAAGCACGACGGCCATACTGTGGGCCGATTCTGACTCAATTACACAGACGTCAACGTCAATTGTTGGCACAGTGACACTTACGATGGACTCTGAGGAATTGGAATCAAGTCGTCTTCAGTAATGAATCTTCGATTTTCTGATGGTAGGGCGAGGGTGTGGAGGCGCCGTCATGAACGTTACGCCCAGTGTTGTGTACAGGAAGTTGACAGATTTCGAGGCGGAAGTGTCATGGTGTGAGGTGCTTTCTGTGGCAATGCACGTTCCAGGTTTCTTGTCATCCGTGGCAACCTCATCGCTGTTGCTTGCCGCGACCGGGTACTAGCACCAGAACTTCTGCCTTTGATGGCAGCACATGGACCCGGTTTGATCTTCCAACACGACAATGCCAGACCCCACACAGCAATTTTGACGCTACTGAACTTGTGTGCCAACAGATTCTCGTGCTTGGGACTTATGACTTAAACTGTTGATGTTATTACCAAATACCGTAGGTGCTTGGAACAAATTATGGTTACCTTCGTTAATTAAAATCCTTCTTTTGTCATAAATGATTAAAAATTACCTTCTCTGATACATTTGGCCGTTGTATATTATACCTTGGGATTACCTTTAAAAATGTCTAAGTTTTTAATTTGACTGGCTTCACAAAACATCGCATCACGATTTATTACCCTTAGACCACTCAGTTCCAGAGTGAATTTGGCAATTCCTCCCATCAACGAGAGAGCTATTGGTTCTGTGATTCACAACACGTCACAGTTTAGTAAATTTAGCAAAAGAATTACTGTAACTAATGCCATCTGATCACCAATTTAGTCACCTTCTATGACGTACAGAAATCAGCTGACGGAATTTAAGTAAAATTCTAGACTCGTTTGGCTGTTTTGGTGTTCCACGTCATATGATCCGCCTATCTAACTCTGACTTGACTCTCCTGGGCCTGAATCCCCTGCAGGACACGTTGCAGAACAGTGGAACTTCCATCTGCATCAGTGTCATCGGAATAACGTCTTTAAAACTGTAACAAAACAGTGTTGCTCATTTATGTTTTCCAGCATGACGAGCAAGGAATAGTGTCTTGTAAAAATATTCATCTTACACATACATATCTCACAACATCACCAGGATACAGAGCAGAAAAAGCTCCATAACATACTGAAATTATGATTACAAACATGTCACATGGATTTATTTTCAGATATAATTCCATATCATATAAATATATAATTTATAGAATCCACATACGTTCAAAATAAGTACAGTCAATATTTAAAATTCCATCACAATTCCATATAAAATTCAGGTGTGTTCTATTGTGCGATATGTTCATGTTAGATTCATAAAAGCAGTATGTGAACAGCTGTATCTGGCTATTTAGATTACATATAGATTGTGCAAACAATTACACACCTTGTCCAACTGGATATCTGTTCATATCATTCAAATAGTAAGGCTTGGGTGAGAGATTAAATACTTAAGAAATAAGTGGGAGTTGTTTATCGTACAATAAAACACTGCAGGGAGAATAAACCATGAGGCCAAAACGAGTGGTCAAAAGTTTGGTGCAGTTGATGGACAGGTGTTCAGTTCTTTAGAAAAGCAAGTCATTAACTATTTAATACTTAGTACTTATCTTAAAGTATGAATTCAGTCTTAAATTATTACATCAGTGCAAATCTAGCAGAACGCTGGATGTACTTATGAACCGAATTCAAAATATCTAAACAGATCTCAGTTCTAACCTCTCGTATCAAATGCGTATCTGTAGGACTCTCGTTTCTAAAACTTTATGTGCGTTGAACCATCAGTCTACAATATCAAACGACAAACGTTTTATAAACGTTGGCAAAAAAAGTATATTCTTTTCTTAAAATGAGGACTCAATTAATTTCAGGGCTCACAGATTCTCAACTTTAACTCCGGTTTATTAAGAACGTCCCAAAAACGAGGCTGCCAACCCCCATTTTGGTAAGTGGGATTTAGGGGTCTATTAAGAGTGTATTCGGTACTCAGCGATGTGTACTCATATAAGATCGTATTTGGTATGCAGGTTCAACATTTATTCCCAAAAGTGGTGTACGCAAAGGTTTTCTTCAAATATTTCTTTTTTTTCTGTAATTTTATTTGAAATCGCACCCTTTTCCCAATGCTTTTGAGATTTGTGACGAGTAGCATTCTGGTTTCAGGAATAAGAAAATGAGACTGAAAACGGTATTCGGGACTCAGAAGAGGATGGGGTTGGCACCCTAAAAATGTAGAAAGGTTCATCCACGTAACGGTGTCTGGCCCGGAAAGATTAGTGACCTGGAATCCCTACGGAATATGTTGATATACTTCTAGCTTGTTCAGGTAAACCCAGTCTTGGCAGAGCTGTATTAGGCCCAAAATACTTCAAACTAGTTTCTAAAAACATCCTTAATAAACGTGGGACGCTGTTCTTACTATCAATCATAGGTTTGTCTGGTCATAGCTGGAATGTTGCGGAGTGCGGCGGAAAACAACAAGGCTCCACCACTTGGTTGATACAGTGTCATCGAGACCCAACGACTTTGGATGTATCTCGGGATGTCAATCACTTGTTTCTCGCGTCCATACTCGAATATTTACCGTCATATACATGTAGCTTGAATATCGCGGCTTTGACCAACATAGAATTACAGTGGATTCATTTATTTGTAACGCACATGAACGGCACACTCTGTGATAAAATGTTCATAGCTTCAAGTGCATTCGTTCACTGCATTTTATGGCGCTTCAAAAAACATTGCATCACGATTTATCTCCCTTAGACCGATCAACAGCCAAGTGAATGTCACACGTCCTCACTGCAGGAACGAGAGAGCAATCGGTTCTGTTTCATAAAGCGAAACAGTTCAGTAAAGCTACCAAAACAATCAGTACATTTAATGTATATATGTACAATAGTAGTTTCAGGTGATTCTGTTGAACACTGAGGCTCATATTTTACTTACATTCGTCCCATCTTCTGCTTATTGTTCTCAGCATAGCAAGCAAGGATAAGTGTCATGTAAATATCAATCCTACACAACCATAGCTTACACCACCTCTAGTTATAACACCGAAGGATTAACTCGGTGTTGCACTCGCGTTATGATTACAAACAGGAAAAACACATCATACGGATGATCTGGTATTCTGAAATAATTGATCAACTTTAATCCGAAGTTCATAATATATAAAATTAGACAATGCTCAGAATAGATCTCAATGCGAGCAGTACACGAAGAATGTGTAAACAAGTTAAATCTTCATTCATCACATTCAAATAGTAAGGCTAAGATGAGAGCTTCAACACAAACGTAGAATTTGATTTTACCCAATACAGTGAAAGGTGCTTACAGGTAAATACACAATGACACATATCACTACACTTAAATCCCCCAACAAAGACGTGACTATAGTTTTTTGAAAGGAGAATTGTGACATGTTCACTCACTTACATGTAAATACCTTCACTCCATCTGGTGTACACACGTACATACGGCCACGCCCACCAACACACACTCCACGTGGATACTGGACACCATCCAGTGATGTCAGTATGTTTCTAACAAACTGCCCTGACTCAGTCAGATGGAGGACTCTGTGTAGATGGTGGTCTGTCACCAGGATGTCGCCTGTGCTGGTACTTGTGATACCGTGTGGATACTTCAGTGTTGTGTCTCCTGTAGGGCTGTAGGTGAACACCACGTCTCCCTCGGGAGTCAGACACACGACACACGTGGATCCCCAGTCAGACACCAGGATGTTTCCTGTCCTCGTGGTACAGAGGAAGGTGGGAATCTTCAAGATGTATCTACTTGGTTGGCCTGGACATAATGACTTCAGCACGTGTCCCGTCATACCCAGGATATCAACACAGGGAGGGGAGATGGAACTTGCTGCGAGTGTTGATGGTGTCAGAGACGTTATACCGTAGTAGTGTTTGCTGGTTTTGATGGTTGACAGCAGCACCAGGTCAGGGTTGACTTGTACTGTTACAATCTCTCTGGTATCCGGCACAGTGACAGCCACCTGGTTGTCATTCAACATTGTTATACCCCACGGAGGATCACCCACACTGAGCCTGCTGTGACCTGGCTGCTTGTTCCTGGTGTAGAAGGACTTCACACTGTTGTTGTTATCGTCTGTGACTACCACTGTGTCTGTATCATTCACCACTAACACCGTCACGTCAAAGAGGTTTGCGCCATATGTATCTCCTGCTACTCTGACGTTAATGGTGTCCTGTAACACAGGAGTAGCCTTCAGGTCCAGCACGTTAATGGTGTCCTGTAACACAGGAGTAGCCTTCAGGTCCAGTACGTTAATGGTGTCCTGTAACACAGGAGTAGCCTTCAGGTCCAGCACATCCTCATACAGGACGTCTATCTCACCCAGCTGTAGATCGTCCAGTGCTCTACTCAGCTTGTCCGTGTCCTGTCTGAACATGATCCTGGCTATTTGTCGCTTCTCCTTCACGTCAGCGACTCCGACAGCCTCCACATCACCGGCCTCACATCCCTGGTACATCTCATACACACCCATGTCACACTCAGATTGTAGAGTCTGGTCTATCAGCTCTGCCTGTTGTTGGTACATCTGTACTGACATCTCACCTGACTTTATGTCTGCCTTCAGTTCTCCAATGTGTTTGTCAGACATTTCTTTCAGTTCAGCCAAAAGTTTCTGTTCCTTGACTTTGATCATCTTTATTGCTTTGAGACTTGCAGACTTGATATTCTGCTTCTATTTGTAAGTAAAGTGTTAATGCTTCATTGACTTTGACGTTTTGTTTACCAACATGTGTTTTCATCTCGTCCTGTTTCTTCAACAAATCCTCTTTATTCCTTCTCAGCTCGGTTTTCATGGCAGGAATCTCCGACTCAATTTCTACAACCAAGTCACATTTCCTGTGATGAATAATGCAGCATGTTTGACAAACAGCTGTTTTACAATCTTTACAAATATATTTGATATTCTCATCTTTGTGAATTTTACAGATGACCTTTCTCTTGACCCTAACCTTTGTCTCTACAGACAGGTCAACTACGTCATGGTGTCGGGAAGATGGAATTCGTCTGTGTACTCGAATACACCGTTCACAGAGTGCGTCGTCACAAACAGAGCACCAAGATGTAGCCGGAGTTGTCTCCCCTTCCTCCTTGCAATAACTGCAGTGAGTCGTATCTGAAATATGAATGTAATCATGTAGAGATAGTAACAGTTCTATATCACTATCTATTACAGAACTTCATGTAGCATATCACTCACACGGGTGAGACAACATGCATTAATAACATCCCAATACGACGTAATGTGAAATATTATGTAAATAACATTGGATTTGTCTCACTGATAGAATTCGCCATATAGATCTCAGAAAAAAACCAGCGAATGTGTCTGAGATAGACCTTAGACCATCTCCCTTTCGAATCATGTCTGGATAATCGTTGTTACTTGTAAAAACAGTGTACACGAAACGATTTCATGGTCTACATACAGCCTACAAACAACTTAATAAATGACTTTCGATAAATTTTGAAACCGTACAACATATCTTCTCACTCAACACACATTCCTATAATCCAGTCAGGTGTGGAGTTACCTGTTTAGAAATAACATTTATATTCATACAAACCACAACTCTCACCTTTGGACCCTGGGCCAAACGAGTCCAAGAGTCCCTGGATGACAAAGCTGGGCTTGACGTCATCCGCCCACTCCTCCACTGGTCTCTCAGGGGCAGACACTTTCGTCATCTTGTTGCAGAATGGACACAGGAGAGACTTGGCACTGATGGCTTCTGGTCTGGTTTGGGTGTAGTTGACGACACATTTCCGACAGAAGGTGTGATTACATACAAGTGTACAGGGCTTGTCAAACACCTCTGTACATATCGTGCATGTCAGGAAGTGTTCTGTTAGCTTCTGTGAGGTCGCCATCATACCTAGAAAAAGACAAACCAGTCGAGTATTGCCTGTGTACAAAACATGCACGTCTCATCCTCAGCCCGAGCTTATCACTCTTAAACACTAAGGCCGACTTCAGTTGTGATAATTTACTCTCCCGATCAAAAATGTAAATAAAGGATTGTGTATTAACCTATTCCCCAAACTGGAATCATCCAGATCTTGAAAACATAACCAAATATCCCGTTTAATAAAAACATCATCGCAGACATTTTTAGACGAGTCTCACTTTTGCTTACTGTACCTGTGTGTGTGGTTTGTTTTTGTTTGTTTGTGTGTGTGCGCGTGCGCGCGCGTGTGTGTATGTGTGCGTGTGCGTGTGCGTGCGTGTGTGTGCGCGTGCGCGCGCGTGTGTGTATGTGTGCGTGTGCGTGCGTGTGTGTGTTTCTCATCTTTATAGCCACCCAATCACCAATCTGTATATATATACATATATCATCTCGCATATTTTCCGTTTCATGAAAACCAATCTTCCCGATATTTTAACTGCAGGATATTCGAAGAAAAGATATGACTGTAGTTTCAATTCTACACATCTTGTAAGCCCCCCGCCTTTCCCGACTTTAGCATGGATACAGGGACCATTGAACTACTCATATAACACATTAATAATGTCGTCAGTTCATCAGGACATGTACTTCTCGAAATTCATAACCAGTTTTGAACACATGAGGTGGTACCTCAGTAGTTTTGTTCGGTTGTTTGGTTTGGATTTAGTCCGCTTGCTGAAGTTGGAAAATAAGTAAAATATTGATGGCCTGACAGTACGCGTTTGTTATGCAATGTATGGCATGGTGACACCGAGAACCCAGAAACAGTGGCCTCACGATGACGGAGGTGGGTGGTGCTTGTCAAATCAGTCACAGGCTGGCTTTACAACATGAGGTGTGTGCACTTGTGACCGTGTGCAGTGTATCGATCACGTGACATAGTTATGGGGTGACACCCACTCATTACCATATCGAAAGTACAGTTCACATACTACCATATCAGATGTGAAATAATATGGTCATGTGGACGTATTTTCCCGTATGGTTTACTGTGGCATTTGTCAGGAATCATGTCAGTAACAACTGTAACAGACACACGTGATATACACATACACATACATCGGGATCGGGCTCACTATTGAAGTCAAGTGGCCGATCAGAGTATTTAATGACTGTGGCTCTTTAAATTATCCCGGTTAGCCTACATGTTATATTTAATTAGGTGCCCGATTATGAGAATCTGCCTGGAGATGACTGTATAGTTAGATGAACCCTTGCGGTGTTACCAGTACACAGTAGGACAGGTGTGTAGCGTTAAAAGTGAAGCAGACACAAGCCTTGTGACAACACACTTACCCGAGACAAGCAGGTTACCGGTGTCCAGGGAAATTGAGCAGCCGGTGAGATCTATCCTAGAGGGGTGTGGGCGTGATTCGTTCGTTACCAAATCGTGTCATTCCGGGACAAGCTGCTTGCAGGTCACAGAAATAGGGGCGAGTGGAGGCGAATAGACGTCTTGTACTTGTTCTAAACACACTGGGTCTAGATTCGATTATTTAAAGGCCGCTTTCATGGAGCTGGAATAATCCTGAGTGCCGCGACAACAGCAAACAAACTTACAGACTGACATGAGACAGCTGTAATATTGATGACAGGAAAACTACAATTATTTACTCGAGAATAAGTTATGATACTCCCTTCTTGCGGGTTTCCTTCACCTGTTTAACATAATTATTTACCAACATACAGTGGCTAATATCTCTGTAAGCTGCTCGCAAACTAATTCTTTCAAGCTCACTTGGTTGGTGCAATGTACAATAAGCACAAAGTCGTAAATGCTGTATGTTTCTGTACTTTGCATCAAGCATCGATAGCACAACAGCAATTACATGTTCGTGTTATCACACGCAAACGTTTATGTACATTGGATTAATTAATGTGGAACATATATCGACAGCACGAACAGTGATATCACGATTTATTACCATCGAACCGCTCAGTTCAAGGGTGAATGTGGCAGTTCCTCCCAACAACAAGAGAGCTATTGGTTCTGTGATTCACAACACGCCACAATTTAGTAAATTTAGCAAAACAATTACATTAACTAATGCTGAGCAGCCGTTGTGACCAACTGATCACCAATTTAGTCACCTTCTATGACGTACAGAAATCTGGTGACGAATTTAAGTAACATTCTAGACTCGTTTGGCTGTTTTCGTGTTCCACGTCATATGATCCGCCTATCTAATTTTGACTTGACCCTCCTGGGCCTGATTCCCCTGCAGGACACGTGGCAGAACAGTGGATCTTCCATCTGCACCAGTGTCATCGGAATAACGTCTTTAAAGCTGTAACAAAAAAGTGTTGCTCATTTGTTTTTCCCAGCGTGACGAGCAAGGATTAGTGTCTTGTAAAAATATTCATCTTACACATACATATCTCACAACATCACCAGGATACAGAGCAGAAAAAGCTCCATAACATACTGAAATTATGATTACAAACATGTCACATGGATTTATTTTCAGATATAATTCCATATCATATAAATATATAATTTATAGAATCCACATGCGTTCAAAATTAGTACGGTCAATATCTAAAATTCTATCACAATTCCATGTAAAATTCAGGTGTGTTCTATTGTGCGATATGTTCATGTTAGATTCACAAAAGCAGTATGTGAACAGCTGTATCTGGCTATTTAGATTACATATAAATTGTGTAAACAATTACACACCTTGTCCAACTGGATATCTGTTCATATCATTCAAATAGTAAGGCTTGGATGAGAGATTAAATACTTAAGAAATAAGTGGGAGTTGTTTATCGAACAATAAAACACTGCAGGGAGAATAAACCATGAGGCCAAAACGAGTGGTCAAAAGTTTGGTGCAGTTGATTGAAAGGTGTCCAGTTCTTTAGAAAAGCAAGTCATTAACTATTTAATACTTAGTACTTAGCTTAAAGTATGAATTCAGTCTTAAATTATTACATCAGTGCAAATATAGCAGAACGTTGGAAGTACCCAAAATACTTAAAACTAGTTTCTAAAAACATCCTTAATAAACGTGGGACGCTGTTCTTACTATCAATCATAGGTTTGTCTGGTCATAGCTGGAATGTTGCGGAGTGCGGCGGAAAACAACAAGCAGCCTATTCAAGGTCTCCCCGCTGTAATTCCGGGTCAGTATAGGTCCTCGGCACCCTATGCTTGTCGTTCGGGGCGACCAAATGGATGCGATGGTCAGACCCCGTCACTTGGTTGATTCAGTGTCATCGTGACCAAACGACTTGGATGTTGCTCGTGATGTCAATCACTGGTTTCTTGCTTCCATACTCGAGTAATTATCATATCCATGTAGCTTGAATATTGCAGCGTTGACCAACGTAGAATTACAGTGGATTCATTTATTTGTAACCCACATAAACGGCACACTCTGTGGTAGAATGTTCATGGCTTCTCAAGTGCATTCGTTCACTGCATTTTACGGCGCTTCAAAAAACATTGCATCACGATTTATCTCCCTTAGACCGATCAACGGCCAAGTGAATGTAACACGTCCTCACTGCAGGAACGGGAGAGCAATCGGTTCTGTGTTTCATAACGCGAAACAGTTCAGTAAAGCTACCAAAACAATTAGTACATTTAGTGTATATATCTATATACATCTATATCATGTGATTTTGTTGAACACTGATACTCATATTTCACGTATATCCGTCCCATCTTCTGCTTATTGTCCTCAGCATAGCAAGCAAGGATTACTGTCATGTAAATATCCATCCTACACCTCCATAGCTCACACCACCTATAGTTATAACACAGAAGAATTAGCTCCGTGT